AATAATGACAAAGCTTTGAACTGCTGTAATCGCTTATTTAGCTAACTGTATTAGCAGAATTGGATTCCGATAAAGTTTTAGTGTAAACGACAAATTTCCTTATACACGATTCCTGGTGCAAAAATTCTCCTCTTTACCCGTTATCTTTTCGTGTTTTCTTATTTTTCCTCTTTTGTTTTCCTTCTTTGTTTGAACGTCCATTTTTTCAATAAGGCTTTTCGGCTGTTGTTGCTTTTTTCTTTTTTAGCTGCACAGTTATTTGCAGGATTAAAACGGTTCTTTTTCGTCTTTAGACTAAGACTGTTAACCACAAAAAAAAAAAAAAAGACAAAAATTTTAATTCAGATTTTTTTTTTCACACGATGCCACTTTTTGCCGTTAAGCTGATTTAAGTCAATGATTTTTTGTTAAGGAAATTTTTTTTTAATCGATGATTTACTTTTGTTTTTTTTTTTGCCTATTTATTTATTTGCTTTTTTTTTCAGAACTTTATTCGTACTATTCGTTTACTGCTGTCTTTTTTATCCTTTCACTCTTACCGAATCTTGGGCTTTTTTACTGTTTTTTTAATCTTCTGTTTTTTTTTTCCCGAATAATTTATGCAGTTCCTGTAGCAATCATTTGTCAGAAGTAACGATAGACAAAAATCTTGAGGAAATAAACTGTCATATCTATAAAGCAAACAAAAACAAAGAAAAAAACTTTTTTTTGCCAATTTAACAGACTAAATCCTGAAAAAAAAAAAAAAGAGCGATGATGAAGTATTTTAAATAAATTTTACTGAGACAGTAGTTAAAATTCTTTTCAATGAAATGTTTTGCTAATTTGCGATTACCTAAAATCAGAAATGAAATTTGTATTTATTGGATTTGTGCAACTTAAGACTCAAAAAATTTATAGAAATATTGTAAATTATAGTGTAAGGGAAAACGAAAGGGAGAAGAAGGAACATTAAGAAATTATTTGGTTTGTAAAAATAAAATTTTAATTAGAAATTATGAAGTGAAGTAAAAAAAATTTTAGATCATAGAAGAATCATATTTTAGTTATTGGTCTAATTTAAAGAAAATTTGTTTTTTTATTGAATAAACTTCTGATGCACATCAATAGTAAAGTGTATCAATGACTAAATATAACTGTAGGTTAGTGATTATTCATCTATTTAATAATTGGTAATCATTTTGCAAAGGTAACCAATTTGTCTTTTTTTTAT